AGCCGTGTATCCTCGACCACCACTCGCTGTACAAGTCCCGGAGCGCGGCCCCCTCCAGCCGCCAGGCTGCCGCCCCTGACAAGAAGCCTAAGCAGCGCCTGTACATCTTCGGAGCCCCGGGCTCCTCTCCCATGGCCGTCCCCGCCAGCCCCACTCTCAGCAGCAGCTCCGGAGAGGCCAGCGACCCGCTCAGCCTGTACGACGACGGGGCCGGCTCCATGAACAACTCCCCCGGCTCCCCTTCCGACGGCTACCCGGCAGCGTGTTCGCCGGCACCGTCCTCCTCTCACTCCTCCTCCGCGTCCTCCCCCTCTTCCTCCTCCTCTTCCCCGGCTTCCTCCTCGGACGAGGAGCTGGACGACGAGTTCCTGGAGCTAAACCCGAGCCCCGGCTTCGAGAACATGTCCCTGGGAAGCTTCAGCTCGGCCGCCCTGGACAGAGACCTGGACTTTAACCTGGAGGCCGGCTCCGGCTCTCACTTCGACTTCCCGGACTATTGTACGCCAGAGGTGAGCGAGATGATCTCTGGAGACTGGCTGGAGTCCAGCATTTCCAACCTGGTGTTCACCTACTGAGCCGCCTGCTAGAGTCTCCACTCAACTTACTGCATTGTGAGCACAGGACTAAATCCAAAGGGATTGTTAATGATGGAGATCTGTCCCATGATGATGACGGCGGCCCTCTGTACGAACTGCAGGCTGGAGAGAGCCGCTGCAGTAAGGGAGCCCGGATAGCTCAGTCGATAGAGAAACAGACTTTTAATGTGAGGGTCGCGGGTTCAAGTCCCCGCTCGGGCATATAACAAAAATGTCATTACACAGTGAAGAGAAGGCACTTATGGGGGCTGCACACAGAAGTTCTCTAAACAGCTGAAAGCCATTCAGAGATGTGGGGGAGAGCAGAGCTCTGATCCAGTCCTTTTTAGCATTAAAGTCTCACTCCTCCATAGGGAGCAATGGGACTCTCCCTTCCAACAAGCCAGTGCAGCTTTTTTTACCTTCCAAAAAGGAGAGGAGAGAAGGAAGGAGCACAAATAAAAAAACTGACACCTTTTTTTCTTCTTAAAAGGGTCAATCAGACCCCCCACAGATCACCTTCCCACCAGCCTTCCTTTTTTTTTACCATGGCTGGAGGGAAGTGTTTTTGTTTTGTTTGTTTCATTTTTTTGTAGTAGTTACAAGACTGTAATGGATTTGCACGTATGGAGAAGGATATGGCACCCTTTGGGTCACCCAGCTTTTTTCATTTACCATCCATGAAGAAAAGATGGACTTTTTTTTCTTTCATTGAGGACACTACTTTGGGAAGTAAGGCGACTCTTTTGAACTACACCAAGTTACATATTTATGTGGTACAGGGGGGAACAGAGGGCGATTCTTAAGAAAAAAACCCCAAGATATTGTGTTTCTCTCGCTCAGAATGGCGGTGGTGTTGGATTATTTCACTGGTGGGTTAATATAGCATGTTATTCTGTCTATCTTTTAAGGTTTCTGTAAGACTGTTGAACAGTTTTAGTGTTAGGATAATATAAAGCAGATAGATGGCGCTATGTTTGATTCCTACGAAAATCACCAGCTTTTTTTCTCATTTTTTTAACTCTTCAAGGATTCAAACGCAACTCAAATCTGTGCTGGACTAAACAAATAATTCAGGACCAAATTTTTTCTCAGAGTATGTATGTGTTATTTACTCAGTAGATGTAAATGGAAAGACTGTTTTTCTTTTGGCTTCACTTTCTCATTGGTGATCCATATTGCCCCCCCTCCCCCTTTTGTAAATGTAATCAGATATCATTTTATATGTGGACATATTTATACTGGCCAAACCTTTTTTGTTTTGTTCTACATTTTAATTTTTTTTTTTTGTAGATTCCCCCCCCCCTATCCACACCGTTTTTATGTCTCCTTCACTGAAGGGCTAGAGTTTTAACTTTTAATTTTTTATATTTAAATGTAAACTTTTGACACTTTTAAAAAGAAAGAAGAGAGATGAAAAACGTTTGATTATTTTCTCAGTGTATTTTTGTAATCAGGCTTCTTAAAGTCACAGCATCCCTTCCAGCCTAGTGCACTTGCACCTCCAGAGTATTGCTAATACACTGTATGTCGGTTGAAAACGAAAAAAAAAGTAAAGAAAAATTCTCTGTATTAATAATCATGTGTAGTATTTATATAGCTCTTTATATCTGTACTTCTATTTTACTTTATGGTATTGTGCAGCCATCTCCTTTATGGAACCTTGACAGCACATCATGTTTGGCACTGTTATACTTCGAAGAGAAGAAAGGAGCAATGTTATTTGCCTGTTTCCAGTAGGTAAACGCAGGGGTAGAACATTGAGCCACCCACTTTATTTTCTTTTTATTATTTTTTTATTCTAATGCTACGCCAATCTCCTGTATTTTCAGATGCTTGCTTTTTCTAACCCTTCATGCTAAGGGAGCATGTGATATAGATGTCCCTTTGGCTCTAATGGGTTAACTAAGCTAGTCTGTATTCAGATGCTTTAAAGCAACCAGTGCACATTGTAAGCAAAAAAAAAAAAGGGATCCTGTAGCTTTAACTTCTAGACCACGTTTTTTGCACTTTTTTATATTACAAAAAAAAAAATAAAAAAAACCGTGCCGTTTAAACCACTGGACCTATCTAAATGCCGATTTGAGTTCGCGACACTATGTACTGCGTTTTCATTCTCGTATTTGACTATTTAATCCTTTCTACTTGTCGCTAAACTATGATTGTTTTAGTCTCTTTTGGCATGATGATAGCATATGTATTCAGGTTTCTAGCTATTGTGTTTTAAGATGAAAAAAAAAAACGAAAAAAAAACAAGAAAGTGAAAACATCTTTGTACATTTAAGACTATTATAATAAGCAAAAATGAAAAATGACAAAAAAAAAAAGATTGTGTGTTTTTATGTATGTATTAAACGACAGGCACTAGATCTTCTGCCGAATGAGGTAGCTTCTGTTTTTAACATCCATTTAAAAAAAAAACTTTTTTGTAATCCATCCTGTGCAATATGCCGTATGAAAAAAAAAAAAAAAAATTTTTTTTTCTAACCAGAAAGCCACAAAACAAAGATTTGAGGCATATCTTCATGCCAGCTAACCATGTTTATTTCACTGCCTGTCAGATTGTTGATATACTTCTGTAAATAACTTTTTTTTAAAGGAAATAAAATCAGCTGGAACTGAACCCTTAAATTGGATCGGTTTTGTCTTTCTTGTGTGTGCTTGTGGTGTGTTGAGCTGCCGAGGCTTCCTAGAGCTGTGACTGTTGCAGAGGAGGAGCCACGCAGCGAAATTAACAGTATTGGTCCTTGTAGTCGGAGGGAAAAAAAAAAAGTATCCAAAATGTAACAACGTAACTCCTATTCCGAACACGTACAGTGAAAGTAGGGAAATAAAATCTTGGCAGGCCATTCCTCCAAGTAATGAGCGACTGTCAGAGCTTGTTCTGCTGTCTAGGAAATTTCTACGAATTCAGTATACAGAGTGATAGTCTCACCGTGAACATCACAATGGATGCATAGGAATAAAATGGCTTGCTTTAGTCTCCCCATTCATTTAGAAGTGGAAGGCTCGGTTCTAGATTATGAATATTTAACAGATTTGTGCATTATCCATGGCAACGTTAAAATCTAGAGACTTACACAATTTAGCAATTTTGAGTGCAGCCATATTAATACATTTGGGACAACTCAGTCGAATACTGTCCATGACATTTTTTTTTTCCATGGTGAGCTTTTGAGTTGTATCCCCTTCATCCAAGGTCCAAGCAGTACTACATAGAAGAAGGGTTTACCCCCCTGAAAGCTGGTTTTGAAAAATGTAACTTGGTGCAAAAAAAATTCAGGACAAGCTTTTGGGGTGTACACTCTTCATCTGAGGTCCAAGCAACACTCCCTGCACAGTAAACAGGGTAAATCCTGAAAGCCTGCCCTGAAAATCAAACTTAATGCAGATGGGGAAAAAAATCGTTGTGGGCTTTCAGGTTGCACCCCCTTCCTCTAAGGTCCAAGGAATAGTGTTTGGACCTTAGACAGAGGGGGTGCAGCCTGAAAGCTTGTCCTGAGAATTATTTGCGCTAACAGTTCAAATTTCAGGACCAGCTTTTAAGGGGTAAGCCTTTTGGTCTAAGGTCCAAAGAGTAATTCTTGTAAAAACGGGGTACACCCCAAGAGCATGTCCTGAAAATTAGTTAAATTTTTAGGACCAGCTTGAAGGGATTAAATACATTGTCTAAGGTCTAAAGAGTACTGCTTGGACCTTAGACAATGGGGGTACACCCTGAAATCTTCTGGAATTTATTTGCACACAGTTACATTTTCAGGAACAGATTTTAGGGGGGTAAATTATTTGCCTAAGGCCCAAGGAGTAATGTTTCAAGGGGCTACACCCCGAAAGCTTACCAATTACATTTTCAAGACCAGCTTTTAGGGGGTAAATTATGTCTAATGTCCAAAGAGTACTGCTTGGACCTTAGATGAAGAGGGTGCACCCCGAGAGTATTGCCTGAAAATTATTTGCACAATGGGGTACATTTTCAGGACTGGATTTTAGGGGGTAAACCCTTCGTCTAAGGTCCAAGGAATACTGCTTGGACCTCCGATGAAATGGGTAACACTGAAGCAAAATCAATGTTTGTAAGCTTGAGTAGCAAATCAGATGTATTTTCTGGATGTTCTGTGAAGATGGGCTGATAAAGCACTCCTCCCCCTGTAATCTATAAAAAGTGACGGCTTGAGGTGGGACCAGTTCAGATATGTTAAATGACGAGGTAAGGTTAAACTGAAGGGACATAAGGAGGTAAGTAAAGGTGGTGAGTCGAGGGCTGTCGCAGAATCTGAAATCTTGGAATGGAAAGCATTCTCAGCTCCTACTGCTGCAACTCTTTGGAAATCTCAGCTCGTGTTCAGCAGTTTCCAGAAGGAGGAGGAGGCCTGGCAGGAGGGTTTCACAGCACGTATGTTACAGGACACACCATTCAGATAACAGCAGAAAGCTCCACCTCTTCGCTTCAGGAGAAGCTACATAAGCCATTTGTCATCCCAGGCTGACCTTGGCGGCTGCAGATACAGTTCAGCGCCATCAGGCTCTGCTTTCCTGGAAAGTCCCTGCAACATCTGATATGTAGAGTCCCTTTGCAGGGCTTTGAAAGAGAATTGTAGCAGTTTGTTCAAATACTGCTTGCTCTAGGTTTCTTGTACAAATCAAATATGGATACCACACTACAAAGGTTTCATGTTTTGTGTTCTTCCAAAAAGTAAAATTAATTAACAATAACGTATAATGATAATGCATTTACTGTACTCTCTGACAGATAAACAGATGCTTCCATTGCTGAATTTTTATTTGGCAAGTGCAAGTTTCCGGATTATCAAGCTGACCCTCATGCTCTATTAGTTTTAAGTAGGGATGTGCCGATACCAAGTATTTTGACGAGTACTCGTACCTTTCCTGATACCGGAACTTCCGGTCAGAGGAAGATTACCTCGGACCGGCAGTGCCACAGAGGAACATTGAGTCAGCTTCCCATGCGATCAGGAAACTGGGTGGCGAGCAATGACCAGCCTCCCAGGTTCCTGATTGGTTGGGAAGCCGACTTC